AATTTCATTTCCAACCTCTGCTTTGGTTATTCCTTATTCAGTAAGGAACAACAACCTTCAAATGTTAAAAATGATGGGAGATTCCAACTATATCAATGCTTGTCAGCAGAGCAAGATTATTATTATTTATAGGAAGTTGCAGGAATATTTGCTGGAACATTGTGATAACAACAGCAATGGCTAACATGTAAATAATGATAACTCCTCATCTCAGAAATTCAGATGGAAACAGGAAAATTTCATTAGAAACAAATAAAAGAGAACTGAACTGCTGTGTAGTATCAGTAGTCTTATATTTCTTTTTTACTTGTTTCACTGCCAAGCAAGGTGATAATGCCACTAGAATGCAGGAGCTTACAGGGAGTGAAAGAGAATGAGAAGACTTAGGAAGGATTGAGAAAAGGACAAAAATAAAGAAGGGTTCAAGAAGATAGAAGATAGCAATTGACATTTCTTTTCAATTTTTGAAGATTGTAGTTATCAAAGCAAGAAATTGGCATTGAAAAGGATGAGAGATGCATTGCAAGAAGCCAGAATGCATAGTTATCAGCAAAAGAACAGCCCAACATGCAAATTACAAATTGGAGATACCAAAATCGAACAATTTAATTAATCCTTTTGAAATTTCTTAAGGGTTTAGAAATTAGTAGCTTAATTTTGTAATGGGTAATGAATGGCACAGCGAGATAGCTAAGATTGTCAAGACGAGTTTAAAATTTGTGAATTTAAGGCAAAAAAAAAAAAGACTTCTCATAATAACTTATTTTATTGTGAACCTTTTGTTTTCTTAAAACAAAAATAAAGTTTCATATGTAAATTTAAAAAATAAATATATACTGGTTACAAAAATAGTGTTTGATTTGTCTTTTACGGCTTATCAACCCTTTGCAAGTTATTTAAAGCCAGAAAATATTTTTAGATTGTAAGAATTTTTATTTTTTTTAGATGATAATGGTTTAGTGATACATGTCTTACTAATTAACCCATAGCTGTGGGGAGAAGAGGTGGATTCATACCTTTCTCAAGATTATTTGCACATAAGTAAATATAATGAATCCAACAGAAATTGGGACTTCGATCTCTGATTAACAATTCTGAGCCATTATCCATGACACCACCTGCACATCCAGGCTTACATCTCCTGGTATTTATTGGCAGTCACCCATCTAAGTACTGACCAGACTTGATGTTACTTAACTTTGGCAATTGTACAGGAATTGGTGTTTTAATGTTATGTGACTGTAAGCAAGATAGATTCGGGACAGAAAAAGAGTCAAACATGGCCTAGAGCTACAAGGGACAGGGAGTTGTGGAGAGCCATGATTGTTCATCTCATGAAGGGATATGACACATAAATGTTGAAGATGATGCATTTATTTCCTGGAATTCATGTTGGCAGGTTAATGATGAATAGGAACGGATATGAATCTCTGCTAATTTTTAGTGAGGAATGATCTGAACTTGTTTGAAGTTCCGAGGAGTGAAGTTTGGTTTGGAAGAATCAAATATTTTGTCCTCTTAAACTAAAGGGAAACATTTTTATATTTTGTCCTCTTAAACTAGACCAGGGAGGAGGGTGAACAGGGTGATAGGCAAACCTATCTACTATTGAAAGAAAAAAAATAAATAAAAAATAAGTAGTAAATAAAATTTCAGATTTTAGTCAGAAACGTTAGAAGTATAGAATTGAAGTGGAAGAAACCAGAAATCAAAATCTAAAGTTTACTTCAATTCTATACTTCTAACATCTCTGCTTAAACTCTAAAATTTTATTTTTTTTTTAAATTTATATTTTCCTTCAATAGGAGTAGAGAGGCTTGCCTATTGTCCCGTTTACCCTCCTCTTGATCTTTTGAATAGGAGTAGAGGTTCATCACTTGTTTCCTGTTAAAGGTTGAGTTTCCAGTTCCTTCTAAAGTATTTTCATTCTCTTTTACTCCTAGTAGCCCCTTGCGTCTTAGTGGCTTTATTGCCTTGCTTGGGATGGATAGATTAAAAACAAAACTGAAAACACTCAACAGAATTGGGGTTCTACACAAGGATAGGGAGAATACCATCTATGGAACATGGGAGAAATGTGGAAATGTAAGGAAAACGGGAACAAAAAAGACTTAAGAAACATTAAAAAAGAAGAAATGTGGGCTTGGAGAATTTAACCCTCACAGGGCATATTGAAGGCAAGAGCAGCAGAAGGAAATGGCAGATAAACAACTTAAAGAGTGTGTGCAAATGGTTGGCAGAACAGGGTCTATAATGGATGGTAAAAGACAAACATTACTAAGAGCTACAAAGAATGGGAAACTGTGGAGATGGTCTAATGATACAAGTCTTATTAATTAACCCATAGCTGTGAGGAGAAGAGGTGGAGTCATACCTTTCTCAATGGTATTTACACATAATATGATGAATCCAACAGGAATTGGGACTCGGATCTATGATTAACACTTCCATGGCATCACCTGCACATTCAGTCTTACATCACCAGGTATTGACAGGCGGTCATCCATCTGGCACATAAATGTTGAAGATGATGCATTTATTTCCTGGAATTCATGTAGGCAGGTTAATGAGGAATAGGAACGGATATGAATCTCTGTTAATTTTTAGTGGGGAATAATCTGAACTTGCTTGAAGATTCAAGGAGTGAAGTTTGGTTGGGAAGAATCAAATATTTTGTCCTCTTAAACTAGAAGGAAACATTTTTATATTTTGTCCTCTTAAACAAGAGGTAAATATTTTTTTTTGCAATAGAAAAGATATTTTGCTGGAACATTTTTAAACTATAATGATTTTATAAGCATATGAATATACAGTGGCAGGCAAAAGAAATTAAGTCCCTACCTAAAAATAAAAATTTGGATATAATAGTGGTTAAATGTTGCAAGTCTGAATAATTAACCAAAAGCTTGGGGGAGAGGAGATGGATCCATACCTTTCCCATAGGTACTTGTGCATAAGTGAATATAACGAACCCAATTAGAATTGGAACTTGGTTCTCCATGTAAGAATTGTTCTCCATTACACCACCTGCACATCTAAGCTTACAGCACCTAATATTACCAAGCAGTCTAGGTACTGACCAGACTTGATGTTGCTTAACTTTGGTGATCATATGGGAACCAGTAGATACAAAAAGAGAATAAATGCCAGTGAAAGAAAATAAATAAATATAGAGAAGAGAAAAAAGTAAATATCAGTAATTAGGAATCAAAATTTGCCATCAACGAAGCATAAAATTTTGTACACTTAAAAAATACTTAAATATTTGAAACACAAATTTTAGAATGGGAGAAGGATTTTCATAATTATGTTTTACAAATTATCAAAAAAATAAAAATAAAATAAATTTTTAAAAAATTCAATTAAAATTTCTGGCATCATTGTCAAAGTAAAAAAGCTTTTTTTTTATTCATTTCTATAAATTTTTGTATTGTTTGTTTTTCTTTTCGCTGAGAAAAAATGTTTACAAAAACAAACAGATTAATGCTACGTCTAGTTCTGTGATAAACAAGTTCACATTTCTAAATTTTGTGATGAAGAATTATTATACACGGATTTGCTCAGTCAATGATAGGAATTGACCTCTTTGAAGTTTTTTATCAAGATTTGTCTTAGTATTACATCTTTAACAAGCATTATTTTAATTTTTATCATGATTTATCTTGTTAATATTACATCTTTAACAAGCATTATCTTAATTTTTATCATGATTCATCTTGTTAATATTACATCTTTAACAAGCATTATTTTAATTTTTATCATGATTCATCTTGTTAATATTACTTCTTTAACAAGCATTATTTTAATTTTTATCATGATTCATCTTGTTAATATTACATCTTTTGATATTGCAGTCTTAGCAACTATTAACATAATATAAAAGTTGATATTACTATTTTAATTTCTTTTCAGAGTATCTTGCTAATATGTTATCATCATGATCATTGTTACTATTATATTTTAAGACATTTTATGTTTATACATTCTTTTTATAGATATAAATATTTAAGTAAATGCTCTGTTTTATAATACACAGTATTAAACAACATTTACCGGCCTGAATGTCTGAGAAATTTTCATAGAAAATATTCATCCTCCAATAGGATTTGAACACGTATCCTATACAGAACCATCATATAGCCTGGCGTGCCTTTTAACCGATTCGGCCACAGAGGATCATGCGGTTAGCAAGGTTGAATTTACTGCTTTTAAATTTCAATCAATTAATTCAGATATGAATGTACGTGGGAGATTCATGGATGATTGAAGTTTAAAAGCAGTAAATTTGGCCTTGCTAACTGAACGATCCTCTGTGGCTGAATTGGTTAAAAGGCACATCAGGCTATATGACAGTTCCGTATGTAAAACAAATGTTCTTGATAGAATAAATATTTCTATCTTGTTTTGTTTCATGCGTTTAACACTTTTAGTTTTTGTTCAACACACGACCCCTGACCTAGTAACCACAGTTTGGTATCAACAAGCTTAGCTATGAGTTTCTTTACTTTGTATTATCATTAGAATATTAATCTATTTTTATTTTTTTATTCATTAATCAAACTTTATTTACAAATTGTAATTGTACCTGTTAAGCGTCTTCAGTGATTTCTCTATGTGCTATGTCCCTTCAGGACAGGTGTTCATGGCTCTCTACATCTTTCTCCTTTACCATCACACTTTGTTCTTTTGGTACTTGTTAGGCCATCCACTAATTCAGACTTCTAAGTATATTTTTCTTTTCTTCTGTTGCCTTCTGTGTGCATTGTGAGTGTTAAATTCTCCAAGCCTTTTTCCTCATTATGTGTCACAAATATTTCAGTCTTTCTAATTTTTGGCACCAGCAAGAACCAAAAGAAATTTATTGCTTTATTAAGCAGATACATTAAGTCTGGGTCTAGCATTTGTGAAAAAATGAACAATATAGATAATAAAAAGAGAAAAAAGAATAAATATTTTTTTTTTTTGCAGACATGGGATATAGATTTTAATAAATGGATTGTATGATTTATTTGATAGAAGTAGCAGCTTGTGAATATTCAGTTTCTTTGCCATTTTTTATCTTTGATATTCACTTTTTAAAAATCTTGTCTTTTTCTTTTTATCTTTCATATTTTGTATTTCTTTTTGATTCTGGTCTTATTTGTGTTTCTTTCCTTATCATTTGTGTTTCCTTCTTTATCAGTTGTGTTTCCTTCTTTATCAGTTGTGCTTCCTTCTTTATCAGTTGTGCTTCCTTCTTTATCATTTGTGTTTCCTTCTTTATCAGTTGTGTTTCCTTCCATATCATTTGTGTTTCATTCTTCATCAGTTGTGTTTCCTTCCTTATAATTTGTGTTTCCTTCCTTATCAGTTGTGCTTCCTTCCTTATCATTCTCTTCTCTTTTACTTCTTTCCTTATTGTATATTTTTACTTTTTGTTATCATTCTTTTTGCTTCTTTCCTTATCATTCATTTTTTTGGTTATTTCATTATTATTTTTTATTTTGTTTCTTTCTTTATCAATTTCATTTTTTACTTCTTTATCTTTCTTTTTTTTGTGTTGCCTCCTTCCTAATCCTTCTCTTTTTTACTTCCATCCTTATCATTCTTTGTTTTTTCTTTCCATATCATTCTCCTTTTTACTTCTTTGCTTATCATTCTTTTTCTTCCTTATCATTCTCATTCGTTTATTTTTGTTTCTTCATTATCATTCTATTTTTTCTTACTTTTCTTATTATTTTCTTATTTTAACTTCTTTCTTTATCATTTTTCTTAAAGTTCATTATTTTTATTTTCTTCTCTCTTTCTGTCTGTTGTTTTCATTTTTCCTTTTTCCATTTTTATAAATATATATTCTTTTCATATATCTATCTATCTATCTATATATATATATATATATATATATATATGTGAAAATATATAGAAAATAGGAAGGAACTGGTTAGGTAAATAGTCCAAAGTTCCTTAGTATTTTTGTTATTATTTTTAAAAAATAGTGCTCGATACAAAAGTAGAGCATAAATATAATTATTTATTTAAAAATATGATTCCAAATCGCTACATAAGAGGTCTCATGTTTCAAAACAAGAGCCGAAAACTTCAATATAATCCTTTAAATTAAATTGAGTTGAAATTAAAATTTCCGTTCCATCTTCAACAAAAAAACTTTTTTGCGAAGATGGAATGGGCCCTTTTTTTCAACTCAATTTAATTTAAAGGATTATATTGAAGTTTTTCGGCTTTGTTTTGAAACATGAGACCTCTTATGTAGCGATTTGGAATCATATTTTTTAAATAAATAAATATATATATATATATATATATATATATATATATATAAATTTCTTCCATTTACATTTATTCCACTGATCTCAATCCATGCTGAGACATTTTCTTTGCTTCAGGGCCGGATTGAACCATTTTTTTTAAGTACAAGCATCTCTTAATTCTGTATTTAGGCATTTGTATCTGAATTTCTTTGTATGTACTCAAATTGCACGAAAGCTTATTTAGCTTTTTATTGATGTAAAATCTTCTTAGGAATATGACTTTGTTGAGTTTGAAATAAGCATTTATATTATTTACACTGAAACTAATATCCCCATCTTTGTTATTATTATTATAACATTTTGGCTGTTGAGCCCTCCGGCCTTCTTGAGGTTTCTGTTGAATAGGATAACCTTCTTGGAATTTCTAACTGAACCCTTTATTTCATCTATCAGGTTCTTGTTCTTGTTTCACTGTCCATGTCTAGGGATATCTTCACTGGCCAATATCTTAACTTCAAATTCCCACCATCCATAATATGTAAATAACAACACCATGCAAAAGTCATATCAATAATGCATATCAGAGATGTAAAAATGATATAGACTTGTGTATTTAAGCATAATTTTTTTTTAAGCATTTCACCCCAATCAAGATGGGAAGCCACTAGCACGCAAGGAGTTACAGAGAGTTGAAGCTAGAACAAATAGGAGTGATAGAGGAAAGGATGAAGAGAAGGATAGGGGATAGATCAGGGCATATGGAGATGTCGATTGACATTACATTTGAATAGTTGGAGATTACAGCTATCAGGGAAACAGGAAAAGGGGAGAGAGTTATCAAGAACCTTGAGACAAATATAAGGGGCAACAGGTCATATATGGCAGCAATACTTGATGAATGGTTTTGTAGATTTGAAGGATTGACTTCAGCGAGAAAAATTTCCTTTGCTTCATATGCTTTATTTATACATGTTTAAATAGAGGCCACATATAAAGAATTTAGAAAATGATATCCAACGATTTCTTTAATCATTTCACCCCAAGCAAGGCAAAGAAGCCACTATTAAGAAGAGAGAAAAAAAAGAACAAGAATTAAAAAAAACAGAGGATGACAATTAACATTTAAATATTTGAAAGTTGGCTGAGAAGGAAGAAGTGGATAGAGAGTTTCACAAGTGGGAAGTGTGATAGAAAAAACTGTTAACATAGAACTTAAACTTACATCTAGCCATTTCAACTCTAAAATGATGAGACCTTGCTGCTAATCTAGTACTGCACTTAAATTAATAAAATCTAAGTACACCAGTGGAAAGTTCATCAGAATAATTACCATGGAAATATTTATAGAAAAGGCACAGAGAAACTACATTGTGGTAGTGGGAAAGGGACTGAAGCTGAGATGCCAGGTCAGGACCATTAACATTGCATATTCTTCTTTGGATTTTATCAAGAATCACTGAATATATAGCAGGGATACCAGACCATATGATTCAATATGATCTTTTCAAGTCATGTCATTAGCCCAAGAAGTTGCAATAAATCAATCTCCTGGAAGTTAACATCAGCCATACTGAGGGATGGCAAAAAAGGGTTCTCTCTGACATTTTGTCAGAGAGAACCCTTTTTGCCATCCCTCAGCATGGCTGACGAGGCATTAAAATTAATAAGCCATTCCCTGCCCCAGTTAATAACAGAAAGTAGATCACTTTTGAGATCAGCTCTCAATTTGTCCCTATTGATCCACACAGGAATCTATTAAAACAGGAATCAATGGTTGTTTCATCAGCATAGATACCAAGTTGAGAACTGAAGCCATCAAGAAGGTTGTTGATGAAAATTAGGAACAATGCAGGTTCAACGATAGAGCCATGCAGGACAGCTGCATTAATTTAAAAAGATCTAGAATTGTGGCCATTCAGGATCACTTTCATTTCGTGATTGGATGAAAAAGATTGAATCTGTTCAAATATTTGTCTAGAAATATTGTAACCTTTGAGGTTCTGAATAAGACAAATATGCTGAACCCTGTTGAATGCCTTCAAGATAGCAAAAGCCATATTGCTTATCTGAAAGAATACCCTCAAGGTGAGATGCTTAAACAATTCAGAGTTGATTACAGCCTATAGAAATTTGCTAAAAAGAGGTAGAAGGCTAACAAGCTGATAGTTAAAAGGATCAGATAGTTTGACTAAGTTCTTAAAGATAGGAATGACAGAAAAGGATTTTCAACAAGCAGGAAAGTAAGATGTAGCAAGGCACTTATTGTACTGTTTAGAAAAAAAACAGGAGACAGTTCAGAAGCACATTTCTTAAGAACTATTACAGAGATACCATTAAGTCCACATGCTTTGAAGAGATCTAGTATAGAGATGATAGCAGAAACCATGGATGGAGTTATATACAGATCACTCACTAGAGACTCAGTTCTAAGTGGGAAGTCAAGTAAAGAAAAGATTCTCCATTTGAGTAAGGAGTAGAATTTTAGGAGAATATTTGAGTAAAATATTCTGCTTTATCAATAAAAGAAACACTTCAAATAACACTTCAAATTAAGACTCACTCTGATTTAAGACACAATTGCAGAGCTGCCATTGGTCACAAGGGCCAAGCTTGTTCAAAGCTACAAGGTGTCTAATTCTATTTGTAAACAAAGACTTAGCCTCTTTGGGGACATGTTTACAATCATTACAGGCTTCTGTTATGATCAGAGCTATCATGCTGGTCACCTGGAAGAAGTGATTCCTGTAGGCTATAGTGACAGACCTGGCCTGTGTGAACCAAAAAGATTTGGGTTTTCACCAGGTATTTTAAGAAGGAACAAAAACACTGATACTGATTTTAACCCACAAAGAAAAACTCTGTGGCACAATTCCCAATGGGAAGGTTAAGGATTTATATACTTATAGCAAAAAAGCATTTTAAAGAAAAAAAACACTTTCAGGATTTCAATATTGATGAGATGAGAACCACTTTCCCCATCAGTGACAGAATGTGAAACTAATACAACTGAAGAATTTAAGTCACTGTGTGTTTTTTGGGTTGATGCATCCACACAAGTAACCCTAGGTGGATGGGTGATTTTATAAAACCACCATAAAATGGTTGGCTACTAATGCTATAGATCCCAGTCTGTTCTACTATTTAATCTATAACTAGTGGAGGGTGAGAAGAGATGGGTTTATATCTTTCCCAAGAGTACAGGGTTTGGCAGAAATACCTCTCACATATACCTCCAAGAAGTAATTCCCACATAATGGTAAGACATTAGCTAGAAGAAGACACCACTAATGTCTTTATGTGGGAGGTATTTCTGCCTCACCCTGTATTTGCATGTAAATGAATGTAACAGACTGAACTGGAATTCGAACTTGGCTTTCCAATTCCTCATTGTGAACCATTATCCATTACCCCACCCACATATCCTGATTTCAATATTGTATATTCTTAATTTACAAAATGAAAAAATATGTTCCAACATGAAACAGTTGGCAAAACACTGATTTGGTTAAGGGATATAGATCAATTTACAAAACTGATCTTGTAAAGAGTTAAAAAATAATAAAAGATTGTATGAATGAAGAAACTGAAAGACAGAGACTGATTTCAATATTTGGATCAAGAATTTGGAAAGAAGTTCTGCAAGAAGATTGAGGCAGAAAGGACAATAGAAATATACTGACCTCTTGTATAATTCTCAAACAACCTTTTATCATCAACTTAACACCAAAATGGTGACAGTGTAATTTCCTGATCAATGCTTTATCTTTTCCCTATGCAGTTCTATTGACTAGGACTTGTTGAACATATCCAGGAGCCATGATGTTCTTCTGTAAGTTAAGGGAACAAGAATTGTTCATTTTAGAAATAGATGGAAGACTGAATTGTCTCAGTCTTTCTCCAAAGATTGACCAGTTTTCAGAATCTGGTTTTATTAAAGGGTCACAACATCCAAATTTGGTTCTTTGCAAGTTTTCAAATTTGATAATAGTGATAGTTGCAAATTGGCCTCTTAGCTATGGATTTTTCTTTTAATAAGGAAATGACTTACTTTGATTTAATATAAAGATATTTTTCTTATTTTAAATTTATAATAGTCAGTTAGTTAATTCTGGATAACTAACAAAAAACATTTGTATGAAATCAAGACTGAGGAATATATATAATCCAGTTCTATATGAAACTTTATATATATATATATATATATATATATATATATATATATATATATATATTTTTTAATTAATCTGACAGATTTATCAATCTGACAATTATATCATTTTAAATATATTTTTATATATATATATATATATATATATATATATATATATATATAGTCGAATTCGACGTATGAGGGTCAAACAGATCAGTTTCCAGGAAACCGACAGCCCAACAACAGTACATGAGATTTGATTATAGTGGTGAAGGTTTCGTGCAAGACCAGCCACACTTTTTGAAGGGTCAAATTCAGAGACCTGGTGCACTAAGTGCCACAAGGTCCCCAAACAACCCTCTGCAGGTTTTGAATTCAGAGTTGTCCTTCTCTTAGACCAGTTGCATCAAAGGCTATAGAACCCAGT